AAACTTCTTGTGTTTATACCCCCCAACAAAATGGCGTTGTTGAAAGAAAACATCGTCATCTTCTTGAAACCGCTCGCGCCCTTCGTTTTCAATCCCATCTTCCTATCAAGTTTTGGGGGGAATGTGTTCTTACCGCTACTTATCTCATCAATCGTCTCCCTACCCGTCTTCTCCATCATAAATCCCCATTTGAGGTTCTCTTTTCGAAAACCCCATCTTATGACCACTTCCGCGTCTTTGGTTGTCTGGCATATGCCACCTCTGTCACTCCCACCACCAAATTTTCCCCTCGGGCTCATCGTTGCATTTTTCTCGGTTATCCTCATGGACAAAAGGCTTATACCCTTTACGATCTCGACAATCACCGCATTTTCACTAGTCGAGACGTCATCTTTCACGAAAGTACTTTCCCTTATGCCGTTTCTCACCCTCCTATCCCATCCTCTTCGCCTACCCTACCCATTCCACCCCCTCTGGACTTTACATATAACCCACCCATTCCTGCCCCGACGCCTCACCCTCCTCCACCTTCCTCCCCTTCCACGCCTCCCATAGATTCCCTTGCTGCCCCATTACCTGTTCCTCCCCATGCCCCTGCCCTCTCGGCATCCCCTCCTTCCCCCCCCGCTACTTCCTTACCTCTCACCCTTTTACCCACGGACATCCCTACCCCCCCACTACCTACCAATCCTCCCCTTCCCCGCACCTCTTCCCGTGCCCATAAACCTCCATCCTATTTAAAAGACTACGTTTGCTCGCAGGTGATTCTGCCATCCCACCCATCTTCGACTTCGCAACCCGGTTCTACACAAGGTACGCGATATCCACTTTGTAATTTTCTCTCTTATCACCGTTACTCTCCCAGACATTTTTCTTACATTAACTCTGTCAGTCGGACTGTGGAGCCTTCCTCCTTTGCCGAGGCTGCCACTGACCCCAATTGGCAACGTGCTATGACTGAGGAGCTTCAAGCTTTACATGCTAATGGTACTTGGACTTTAACTTCCTTGCCCCCTGGCAAAATTCCCATTGGTTGTAAGTGGGTGTACAAACTCAAGCACAAATCCGACGGCTCTATTGACCGCTACAAAGCTCGTTTGGTTGCTAAAGGCTTCACTCAGGCTGAAGGTATTGATTATCATGACACTTTTTCTCCTACTGCTAAGATGATTACGGTGCGTTGTCTTCTTGCTCTTGCTGCTAGTCAGTCTTGGTCTCTTCATCAGCTTGATGTTAATAATGCTTTCTTACATGGTGACTTACATGAAGAAATCTATATGTCTCCTCCTCCTGGTCTTCGGCGACAGGGGGAGAATCTTGTGTGTCGCCTTCACAAGTCACTTTATGGTCTTAAGCAGGCTTCTCGCCAATGGTTTGCCAAATTCACTAGTGCCATCATTTCTGCCGGTTTTCAACAATCCAAAGCTGACTATTCATTGTTCACTAAAAAGTCTGGTATTTCTTTCACAGCTTTGCTTATTTATGTGGATGATATTGTGATTACAGGCAATGATGCTAGTGCCATTAATTCTCTGAAGTCTTTTCTCCGTGATCATTTTCGGATAAAAGACCTTGGTGATTTAAAATATTTTTTGGGTATTGAGGTTTCTCGTTCCAAACAAGGGATTTATATTTCTCAACGCAAGTATGCATTAGAGATTCTCAAGGACTATGGTTTTTTGGGAGCACGACCCATTGCTTTTCCTATGGATGACACAAAATTATCTGATAAAGGAGAACTTCTCAAGGATCCTGAAAAGTATCGACGATTAGTAGGTCGGTTAATATATCTCACTATCACTCGGCCAGATATCACTTATTCTGTGCATGTTCTAAGCCGTTTTATGCACGAGCCAAGGATATCTCATATGGATGCTGCGCTTCGTATTGTTCGTTATTTGAAGGCTACTCCAGGTCAAGGTTTATTATTTCGTTCTGACAACCAGACCAAGTTAACTGCGTTTTGTGATTCTGATTGGGCAGGTTGCCCTATCACTCGCCGTTCGACTACTGGGTATTGTGTATTCTTGGGCGGTTCTTTGATTTCTTGGCGGACGAAACGACAGAAAACCGTTTCGCTCTCTTCAGCAGAGGCGGAATATAGGGCCATGGCAGGTGCTTGTTGCGAGATAGTTTGGCTTCGTTTTTTGTTGAAGGATTTGAACATTCCTTTGGATGGTCCTTCCATTTTATTTTGTGATAATCAAGCAGCGTTACATATAGCTGCCAATCCTGTTTTTCATGAACGAACTCGTCACATTGAGATGGATTGTCATTTTATACGAGATAAGATTGTAGATGGCACAATAGAGACCAAGCATGTGGGTACGGCACAACAGTTGGCAGACTTGTTTACCAAACCTCTTGGGAAAGAAAAGTTTTCGGGTATGTTACGCAAGTTGGGAGTTCTTGACATCCACTCTCCAACTTGAGGGGGAGTGTTAGACAAACAAAGTTAGGTTGGAATCCTTGTGTAAAAATGCATGAAATAAACATGTTGGAATAATGGTAGGCTAGTCAATTTTCTTGTTCAAAGTTAGGCAAGTTAGGTTAGTCAAGTTAGGCAAGTTAGGCAAAATTAGGTTTACGTTCTTTTTCTTTCCTATATATATGTTTCATCTTGTAATTGTTCAATCAAGCAAATATACATCAAATTCTACAAGTATTCATATGTAGTGTCATTTATATTTGTCGCATTGCTCACATAAGTAAAAGATAATTAAATATGCCACCATTACATGTGCAACAAATTCGGACCAGTTTGCAGCCATAATTATTCAGCAAAATGATTGTTCATGGGAAGATTGAGAAGTAGCTGGCTAGCCTGCTCTTTACTTTTTGAAAAGAGAATATAAGAGATGAATCTCTCTCTCTCTCTCTCTCTCTGTGCATCCATGTGTGTACTACTGTGCATGTTCAAGAAAGCAAGAGACCCAGAAAAGCATGGAGAGATGATAAGTCAAAGAAAAAAAGGTGAAATTATTAACACAAAGGGAACAAAACATCTTAGCAACGACAAGTCAACTCGGTTTTAGCCATGCCAACCCAACAAATGCATAAACAAAAAAAACGAAACAAGTTAACCCATTTGGCATTCACATATATGTATATATATGTGTGATAGATGTATTATATATATTCGAGATGCCACCACAACTTTTTTTTTTTTTTTTTCCTAGCTAAGCTGAATACACCAGACAAAATGCACCACCAAAGCAACCAATTATATACACACTAGCTGGGGCAGTGAGACAGCTTTCGACCAAAAAAAAAAAAAAAAAGTTAGCTATTAGGCATGAGACCAAGCCCCACCTTCCTACCTATTGTATGAAATAACAGACATGCTTTATTACATTTCTCACGCTTAAAGCAAACATGAAAATGAAATTAATGTTGGGATGTGTGTCCTCTCTCTCTCTCTTCACTAAATAAACACCCCTTGCCAAACGAATTTTTTTCGTTGGGTCAAATGGGGTTTCATCGCTGCAAATTTTAGGCGAGGATCATTCGTCGGGAAATGTTTTACGCGCAAAAACCGTAGCTCGAAATTTTACCCTATTGAAAGTATTTGGAGGAGCCGAAGGACGTCAGGTAGTCGACAGTCGGCACTCCTATCTTATATCAAATCCTTATGATAATGAATCCTAAAAAAAAATTGTGCTAAAGCTAGGTTGTCACCCATAAGTGGCACGTCGTGTGGCCCAAGCACAGTGATAAGTGAGTAAGGGTCACTGTATCTCCATCGGCTTCTGGATGCAATGTTAAATGGGCAAGAGGGATATAGAAACTTCTTTTTGAATGACTCCACTCAAAGTTGTTTGGAAGCATTTACTCCTATCAACTTTACAGAGGACACACAAAAGAAGTATTTTGACCTTATTAGACGAGGGAGGGCGAGGAGCTAGGACATGAGGGTAGAGTTCAAGAGAGTAGAATGCGTTTAGGAACATGGAATCTAAAGGTCTTCACCTAAGTCGATCAAAGACAGAGTTTATGAAGTGCAAGTTTAGTGTGAAGGGATGTTCAAATGAGTTAGGGGTGAGGATCGGAGATTATGAAGTACCAAAGAGCGACCGCTTTCCCTACCTAGGATCTATCTTGCAAAAGAATGGAGAGTTGGATGGAGACCTCAACCATAGAATACAAGACGGATGGATGAATTGGAACAGTACATTGGGTGTGTTGTGTGACTGTCGTATGCCACTAAAGCTCAAGAAAAAAATTTATAGGACAACAATAAGACCAGCAATGTTTTATGGCATGGAATGTTGGACAATGAAGCATTAACACGAACATAAAATGAGTGTAGCAGAGATGAGAATGCTTTGTTGGAAGTGTGGGCACACAAGAAAGGATAAGATTAGGAATAAGGATATCCAAGGTAAAGTAGGAGTAGTCGTGATTGAAGGAAAAATGAGAGAAAATCGGTTAAGGTGGTTTGGACATGTGAAACGAAAGCCTACAGACGCTCCGGTTGGAAGATGCGATTACGAGACAAAAGTTTAGGGCGAAAGGGATAGAGGAAGACCTAGGAAGACTTGGAAAGAGGCTCTAAGAAAAAACTTGGAGTATTTGGATTTAACGAAAGACGTGGCACAGACCGAACAAAATAGCGTTCTAGAATTCATATAGTCAACCCCACCTAGTAGGATAAGATTTTGTTGTTGTAAAAGTAACCATTTGTCGGGCTAAATGAGTTTTGTCCGACGAAAAAGGTCATCGGTTAAATTACTCCACGAATACATCTTACTGTACTACATAGTTTTGTCGCCTCACTAGAAATTAATTAAATGCTATTAAAAATTTTGCCAACAAAATATTTGTCGGGTAAAAATTTAAACCAAGAAAAGAAAACAATAAAATTTTGCTTAACGAATAATATTTGTCGGTCTAACCCTTTTAATTATTTTAAAATATCCGAAATTAAAACAATATTTTATTTAATTCTACTTCTATTAATCTTAAAAGTAAAAATTATTCACAACTTTAAAATATTTTATTTAATTATATTGAAAATAAAATTGTTCGGGCAATTGCGTGTAAAAAAAAAAAACTAAACTAATTCACTATAACTAATCGGGTGGCTGTTGAGGTGCCTAATGGAATATTGCCTAAAGATTGCTAGAGGGCTCCGGAATGCGAATCCCAAAAGCTGACATTCCTTCGGCTATTTGAGCAATGCATTATCGAATACATTCGTCACGTTTATTGGCGCACAGCTTCACGCTCGCAAGCAGCTTCTTCTCTTTGGTGTGCTGTTTCTTCTCTTTGAGCTCGACTTCTTTTCATTGCCTTGCTAGCTCCATCTGCAATTGCAGTTTGGAAGACATCTCCGTTGGAGGATGAAAGCTAGAAGAAGAAGAAGACCCCCAAGATCTTGAATGCGACCCGCTCATTGGCCATGAAGCTCTTTGCCATTTGGTCCACCAACCCCGTCTATTAGCAATTATAAGGGCACTTCTAGATCAGGTGTTATCTCCTCCATTGACTTGTCCGGTTGTTATTGTGAGAGGTTGATGAGGTACTCATCCTTCTTCTGTTGCATAGAAGCTTACAGGGAAAAAAACCCAATTAAGATTATCGAATTTAAACATTTTTAGTGTAATGAAATTTGAATTTAAAACGTAAAAAGAAATACTTACATATTGTCGTCAGTGATGGGGTTGCCATAATTGGCATGCGTATCCCCTCAAGCCTTCGCTTCTGAGAAATGTTATCCCTTCGCTTGCCGTTTCTCGACCTGGTAAGATAGGGGTTGAGAATATGAATGATGAAGTACAGCTTCCTTTCCTAGTTACCTTTATTTGTAGCTGATTTACGCTGTAAATTCAAAAGATCAATTAAAATTAAAAAACTTAAATTTAAAAAAATTGAACTATAATCAAAATATAAATAAAACTTATCAAAAATGTCGGGCTCTAAAATTGAGTGCATAGCTCTCCCATTCGTCAAGCCTATCTTGAAACTCCTTGTGTGGATCAATAGGAGTTGCATCAGGAGGCTGACAAGTCTTGTAGTAGAAGGGAGCTTCTATTTTCACTCCTTGTACCAGTCCAAACTTGGTGTATGTACTTAGCAGTCCCCAAATCCTCATGTTAATCTCGAAGTTAGCCAGAAATTAAAAAAAAAAATCAAATATATTAGTTAAAACTAAATAAATAAATAAATAATTAAGAAAGTTCTACGCTTACCAAAATCTATCTTATCATCTTGGCATGGATCATGCAAGTGTGCTTCCTCCGCAAATCGATGCCCATGGGGCACTTAGTGAGAATGATGGCACTCATGTCGTGAGTCAACAAGTTATTGACTTTCAGGCTTGTTTGCCGTTGACTCGGGTTGTAATGAATCCAGATCTAAGCCTACAATATATATATGTGATCTGGTTGCTTGCCAACCCTTTACATATCCCCAGCACTTTGGTCTTCGGCCCGGTGGGGTGTTATCTGTCTTCCACCTGCTGCGCGGTTGCTAAATTGGCCTCTGCGGCATTAATAGGGTGGGTTGGGACAGCCACATGCTTATGTCGACCGTTGCTGTGAGGTCGCCTAGGAAACCGGACCACTCGCCCCGATGAAGCAAAAGTACTGGAGCTGGCTGCCGACTCAGTAATGGTTGATGGGCCGCTGGAGGCTGAATGGTCACTTTGACCAGAAGACCAAGTTGAGGTAGATCAGTGCCCTCTAGTGACCAAGAGCGATGACATTTGTGAAAAAGTTTCACAATTTCACATATTTTTGACAATTTCACATATTTCTACAATTTTATCAAATTTTTGTTTTTTCCTACAATTTCATATATTTCCTACAATATTCAATAATTTCATAATAATCATAATATTCATAATACTCACAAATCACAATACTTATAATATTCCTAATAATTTACAAAAATCATATATTCCTAATATTCACAAATCACAATATTCCTAATAGTCACGCTATTCTTAGTCATTCACAAAACTCACATTATTCCTAAAATATTCACAAATCCTCCAAATATTCACAAAAATCACTATATTCACTATCTCCACAAACCACCTAAACCCACCACCCCTGTCCCCCAAGACCATCTAAACCCACCCTCGTAAACACCCACCCTGTCCCTCGTCCACCACCCTACCTCACCAGTCCTCGCACCTTCTCCAAACCCCCACCATTGTATCCCCTACCCCACCATCGTACACTTAAACCCACCCCATCCCCTTCCCCTAATCACAACCAATTTCGTCAGGCAACCTTTAATTCTGGTGGAAAATATTTTTTTGTAGCAAAAATTTGGGTGAAAATATTTAGGTTTGCCAACGAATTTACAAGTGTTTTCCGATACATTTATCGATGTTTGCCCGACGACTTGCACCTATTTCATCGGTCGATTTAGTATGTTTGTTTTTTACTGTCAATTACTGTCAAAATCAAAGGTCATATAACCGTTAATTCGTGATTTTTTGTTTGTAACCGTCAAAGAATTTAGTTACGTTGCCTAATCTCCAAACATTCGTTTTTGGTGATTTCTGGCATGTGAGATCTTGAAGTATAGAGAATCAAGTTTAAATGTTAGATTGTGGAAACTAGTTTTGTAGAATGCATATCCCATCAAAACAATATATTCAAGAAACACTTTAGATTTATTCTATACTTCCATTAAATAAAACATAAGCTTTTCTAGTGTCCACTAGTGTAAATACTTCAAATTGTTGATCGGTTTCGTTCATAGTAATCTTCTAGGGTCGAGGAGTGTAGTTATAAAAAGTCATAAACGTGGGAGCTAAAATGACAGTTAAATTGTGATTTTTCATTTCTAACTATTGAAGGATTTCGTCCCGGTACCTAATCTCCGAATGTTTGTTTTTGGTGATTTTGGCATATGAGATCTTGGAGTATATACAAACAAATTTGACGGTTGGATCGTGAAAACTAGTTTCAAAGATTGTGTGTCCCATCAAAACAATAGATTCAACAAACATTTAGAGTTTATTCTATACTTCCATTAAATAAAATGTAAGCTTTTGTGGTGTCCACTATTGGAGTTATGCTCTAAAAGCTAATTTATGTAATAACTCCATAATATTAGTTAATAAAAGGGCAAGTTTTATTCATTCAGGAGTTTGCCTTTATATATAGTAATAATATATTATGAATGATAGTACATAGGACTTAAGGTATGGAAGCAATAATGTCCTAAACGAGCTTAGGGCAATTAGACTTGTATTCCATAGCCACTTAATCTTTAAATAAAATTTCTAGCCATTTGGAAAGTCAACTAGACATTGACTATCTGGAATGGCCAATGTATATCACATTAAGGTTAGCATGGTCACGTGCTACACATGTTAGACACGTGATAAATATACAGGTGCTTGTCTGTTGCACAAGTATGGATGTACATGAATGCGCAATGAGGAATATATCGCCTTCTAGTAATTGTCCAATAGAAAGAGCCTTTGAAGCCACTTGAAGATCCATCCCGAAATCTTCGGCTAAAGTACTTGTTGATCAAGTTATGTTTGTAAGAATTGCTACAACATAAGATCCATCATGGTGATCATAGATTACTACATGTGAATTGACATAAATGCATATTACATAGATCATGATTGGAATGTGGATGATAGAAGAACCGAATATGCATTGTAACAATCAAGGTTCATAAAATAAACATAACTTGTTCGTGAATACTTACTAATTTGGGTAGCCATGACATGTTGCTAGATGTCGTTTATGGTTTGTGGAATTAAATTAATTCAATTTCACTACCGACTTTAGTTAAAACCTAATAGGTCACACGCATATGATAAGTGTTAGCAACGTTATATGGCTAATGATTAGATATAATTAATTTTTAATTATATTGGATTAATTATTTGGACTTATTGGGCATAGTTTTAATTAAATAGCTGTAACATCCCACATCATCCAGGGGAGTGGATCATGTAAGCCTTATATGTATATTCTCATCTCTACCAAGCATAAGACCTTTTGGGAGCTCACTGGCTTCGGGTTCCGTAGGAACTCCAAAGTTAAGCGAGTTTGCACGAGACCAATCCCATGATGGTGACCCATTGGGAAGTTCTCATTTGAGTTCACATAAACAAAACCATAAGGGTGTGGTGAAGGAAGATTTGTGAAAAACAAGTTCATTTGAGCAACATCAACAACATGCAATTAACAATTAAAAGGCGGAATCATGTTTATATGCACTCAAAAACAAAACTTAACCCATGAACTTCAAAGCCTAGTAGATAGGTGAACCAAGACTCAACTCAAAACAAAGTGAGTTGAGAAATCAATACCTTTGTAGATTCCTCTTTGCATAAGCAAAGGCTAATCACCCAAAGAGAGGGCCTTCATTCCTTGCATCTTAGATCCATGGATTTGGATGGATGAAAAGGTTTCTCCAAGTTCCCAAAATTGAGAACCTCTAAGTCTCCACACCAAGGCATATTGTAGAAGAAATGAGTGACCTTGAGGAAGTAAGATTGCTAGATGTTTTCCTCAAGGTGGCCGGCCATTTTTAGAGAGAAAGGAGAGTTTGTGTTTCTCCAATTTCCCCAAAAACAACCCTTAATGAATTTTGGCTATAAAGTCATACTTATTCCTTAATTCATTTGAGTGGCAAACTTGTAAATAAGTCCAAAACCACTCCTTCTCTAACATGGCCGGCCTTAGGGTATTCATTGGGCTATTTGGGCCTTTGTGAATCATTATTCATTAAGTTGTCACACAACTTAAGTCAATGGACTTGACGTTCGAAGCCTATTGGGCCTTAAGGTCCAAAACTATCCCGAGGTCTTTTAACGAACTTATTCATTTGATTAATAATCATATTAATTAATCCTTGCCATAAATAATTAAACCATTTAATTATTCTTACTCATCTCCGTTGATCTTCAATCTCTACCTTACACGGTGTACGATCCATTAGGTTCCTTTTAGCGAGGCAGTGGGCGATTCAAACTCTTTCAAATCGATTGTGAATTGAAACTTACTTTCAATTCTCCCGTTAGTGATAATACACTTTTAGGGCTTCCAGAAACCATGGTTGACGCCTAGCAGCATGCCATGGTTACCCAAGCTAATCAGAAGAGGTGGAGAACCTATTAAGTTTTAGAATTACAAATGCAATACGGTTTTTCTCTAATACAATACTCTTGACCACATTGTTTGGTTTGATAGTTTATTCATGTCTACTATCCAATTTGAGTCTTGTGCTTATATGATTACCTTGAATGTGATTTGGAACACATTCCTAAATCTCATTCATACTTTGGCCAAAGATTCTTAATCATATCATAGAGTATTCTCCCTCAAACAGTTTGAAGGTTAGAGATCCCTTGTTGCGCATTCACTTGCCTCCATGGCTAAGTGGCTTAACCCCAACGATGTCACGGACACCCTCCTGATGGAGTGACTTTGACATAATCAAAGATTAAGGACCTAACCACAAGACAACTGTGATGCCTCAGGTCAAAAGACTAATTTGCATTATCCCAACCATGAGTTCTCATGTGACATGAATATGAGAACTCTTCGTTGATCGTGTTCAGTGAACTCATTCTCTATTGAGCACCTACGTACTTGTCTTGATGTCACACACACCAATGACTCGAGACTAGTCACTCTCCCTAAGAGAAGACATAGCACGTACTGATCTTAACGGACTGTCAATGCCCAATTGACAATCCTATGATCAGGAACGTTTAGGATGTGTCAACGAAAGAATGGTCTCATGAATCTAACTTCTTTAGATCGCATTCTTCCAATCACATATTCCTTGGACTTATCGTTTAAGCATATAACATTTATATGAGACGGCTCAAACAATAATCTTTGCCCTTTACATTTAAACTACATTAGTTTGAAATGTCCGTAAAGTATCATTTCCAACAATCTCACACTTGCACTAGAGCCAATCAGCTTAGTCATCATTGATGATACCTCTTCTGTAATTCATTTCATAAATGGCTGAGTAGTAGGCCTAAAAAATGGATATCTATATGTTATCCATAGAAGCAACCTTGAGAATAACGACGTCACCATTATACATGATTCTCAATCATGTGGTTCAATCTCTCATTTGAGTTCGGACCTTGATGAGACCTTGATTCCCTGGCTTGAGCTATCGCCCCATTAGTGTCACACACTTTCTGGTTGGAACCGAATGGAGAGTTCATGAATGAATTTTCCCATCCAAACAACCATGTTGTAAGCTTTTATATGGCAATATATTTTTCATACATGATGGAACACATTAAAGTCATTTACTTTTAACGTTTCCACCCAAATATCTCTTTAGTCATAATAAAGAGATATCTCATTATCACTTCATTCATAATGAAGAGATATTCTATGATGGATTAGATTCATAATCTAATACATTTACGCTTCCATTACGTTACTCTAATTCTTCCTCATTCTTGAGGAATCCATCCTTAGTATTTCTTAAATACCTAAGGATTCACTTGACAGTTGCCATGGTTCTGATCCTGGGCTTGCACTGATATCATCTATGACCAACTCGTAACTTATGTTTTAGAGGTATCACAACTCAGTTGGGATTAGTCACTACCTTGCAACCTTTTGGGTTTTAAGCATCGTTATATTCTTAAACACCACATCATCTCTACTACAGAGACAATTAATTAGATTATCATAATCTAATCATTCATTAATAAAGAACAATGTTTTGTCAAACAAAACATTCATCCATCTCTACAACTGTGACGAAATTATGT